TTCTCACTCCTCTCTTCTCTGGCTGTAGTTGTACAGTTTGTTTTTTCCCCCCTTCTCAATCATGTTATCGCAGAGGTGCCACCACCATTCCTGATGGGCTCAGCCTTGGCCAGTGGTGGGGTCTGTCTTGGACTCGGCTGGCATTGGCTGTTGGGCATAGGGGAAGCTTCCATCAGATTATAACAAAAGCCACCCCTGTAGACGACCCCACTACGAAAACTTTGCCATGCAAATCCAGTACAGACTCTGCATATAGAAATAGTTGGGATATATATAGAATAGGTTGGATAGTTGGGATCTACACCTGATTCTATTCTAATATCTGTAGGTTAAGTCCAGTGCAGATCACTTCAGTGGGATTTTTTTTTGTCTTTCTTTCTCTAATTGTAAAATAAGGATTGTATTATTTACTAGTTTGGAGAAGAATCTTGAGATTCTCCAGAGTAATTTAAGATCAAATACGTACCATACACAACTCACTGTTATGTTAGTAGAAGCAAAGCAAAATTATTATTTTTTTTAAAATGATGCTTTAATTACATACCACCATATTAGTGAGTGGAAAATAAAATAAAGAAGAAATTGAACTAGTGTCTTTGTTTTGCAGGTTCTTTCATGTTGGTGAATACATCTGGGAGATTTGCAGGACAGAAAGCTCACCTCCTGCTGCCCCATCTGAAAGAAAATGATACGCATTGTATTGATTTCCACTATTATGTTTCAAGCAAGGGTGGATCTAGCCCTGGCACTTTGAATATATATGTGAAAGTTAATGATGGTCCTATTGGTAACCCGATCTGGAACACATCTATCACTGCTTCTTGGAACAGAGCAGAACTGGCAATTAGCACTTTCTGGCCCAATTTTTATCAGGTATGTCTTATTTTTTAAGAAGTTTTGTTTCTAATAATAATCACCTATTTCATAATCCTAATTTTGACTTCAAATCAAAATATCTTTCAGTATGTTTTGTTGATCTTTATCTTAATTATATTTTTGTAGATTATGATGCTTTGTTTTTACATGTATACGGCTGTGTTTATACGTTTACATATGGAAGCGTATGAAATGTATGCACACACATGCTTTAAATGTGAGTGAAATAATTATATTGAAACAATTTAGAAATTTTGCCATTAATTTCAGTCAATTACCCCTGTTTCTCTATAATAAATTCACTCACTTTTTCAGTTCATTAGGGATGCTGGAATTGAATGCCAATAGATTTTATTTCAGTAGAGTCTTGAAGTCTGATTTAGATCAGCAATACTTGTTTCTTTGGGACCAGCAGACTCTTTTCAATCCTCAGTTCTAGTCTTGAGTTTGAATGCAATATCCATTTGTTTTGTCCAGTGGTAATCATAAATATAACAGTAGGTATTGTAGAAATGTGCTTCTGAGTACATCCTAAAAGTTTAGGGTGAATTTCACTTGTCATTTCCTTAGGGTGCTGCTTTTCTGTAGGAAAGTTTAGAGATTACACAGTTCTTTACTGTGTAGTTCAACATTTTTTTTCTCCTTCTTCCTGTAAAAATACATGTTTGTGCCTTCAAAAGCAAGTAATTTGGTGTAATAAGAACAGAGCAGTAGATCAGAGCTGTTACTGAGGCTCCTCTCATCTTCACTTGCAGTTTGGAAAGTTTGGTTTAGATGTTATTTGGTCCCTTCTGCTGAACAATCCTGGAGATGGAGGTTTTTTGTAGACCTCCCTAGAAAGTACAATGTTGTCATTCTACGGTGTCTTTCCAGGGGTGACAGCATCTTAATTCCTACATCAGTGCCTAGACTTCTAATGTCACATGTGGCAGAGCCTTGTTTCTGTTCCTGCGTGTGCTGTTTAGGGTGAACAGGTGTTTGGTGTCCCATCATATTCTCATTCTGAGAGAACTCTTTTGAACCCTTTTTCCTCTAAGTTAAATATCGAGCTGAAGAACTTTCTGGAGTCCTTGCAGCTGTGATTGCTTCACCCACAATTGACAGGAAGTCCTTATCCAAAAGATGAGTTTGGAGTTCTAGGACTATCTTATCCTTGAAACGTCGGATACCTGGCAGTAGGTGCGATACTTGCAGACCCAAAAGACCATGCTCATTCTTGCCTCTCGTAGTATGTTCCTAGGTTGTGTAGGAGTATTGACAGGTCTGCATTTGCATCCAGTGCTCTGCCCAGGGTGGCTAGGAGTTGCTACAACTGCATTGCTGGGGCTTTCTGGACAGGATTCAGGGTAAGTTCATGGTCATCTCAGCAAATGTCACTGGGACAACTCATGATGTGGATCTCCTGTAAGTGGCTGTCGACTCAATGAGGGAATACTGGTGGCTTTTCGAGAAGGTGAGGCATGTTAGCAGAGTTGAGGTTCACCTCAGCATTGTGGGAGAAGCTGTGTACTACCTACATCTCTGGAGCATGAGGCTGTATCCTGACCACAGAATCCAAGCCTGGTGTAGCCATACCTTTACATGTTGCAGAGAGAAAGTTCATTGTGTATTTTATTTCCTGTCAGAGTTCAAGGAGTGTCTGGTTGGTGCTCTTAGTCATATGTTTAGGTTTAGGTAGTCCTGTGAGGAGCAGGGTGTCAGACTCTGATCCTTATGGATCCCCTCAAACTCAAGATATTCCATGATTCTATGACCTTACTTTGAGGCTGTGGACTCCACGTTACCAATTTGATGCTAGTGGTGGGAATGCCTTCTAATGATGCCAAAAAGCCTGTCAGTCTTGGCTGAAATAATGAAGCCCTGTTTCTGTTGTTAGCCTTTGTGTATGGTAGGAGAAGAGTAGAGCATCCTGCAGACAATTTCATGCCTGCCATCGGGTATAACTGAGTTGTTTCTAACATAGGATCTGCTGGAGGGTTTTGTGATCATGCTGGGTGGTTCAAGAGCACTATGTGGTGCATGGACATGTTGCAGACACTGGGAGAATGTGTGACTGTGTCACTCATGCCTAATATGGACTGTAATGTCCCTTCTGAGTGTTGAGTTATATACCAGGGGAGCTTTGGTTTCCTTTCTTCTGGAAGGAGTCTGGTTTTTATTCAGCAGAACTGCTCTGTGAACCAGCAGTCGGTGGATATGAGGGTTGTGCTTCAAAGCCTCGCTCTAGCTCTGCACCAAAACATTAATGTGGAAAGGGAATCTTAATAGTAGCAGCCCTGACTCTGACTAGTAAATTTAGGGTAAATTAACATGTTAATAAAAATACAGGCAAGTTCTGACCATTTTAAATGTTATTGATATTAGTAATAATCTGTGTCAGATTTCTATCAATACGTCTAGCTGATGTCTGAATAATATGGATATTTGGCCACAGAAGAGGAAAGATAACCTTTCTAGTCCACTTCCTCCTCGAGACCTGCCATCTGGACTGTTCACCCTTATTTGTAGGTGAACCCTTACATGCTTGGATGGGGTACTGCAGTTCAGCAAATTACCATACAGCAGCTGATAATATAATGAACACCTGAGTCTCTCTGTAATGGATTCCGTGTGCTCTCTTTGCCTCCGGAAATATAGATATTTTTACATAATCTTTCTTTCACTGAGGGGTATAGGAAGTAATTTTCTTTGCATTTGCTGCATACAGTCTGAAATAATACCTGCTTAGGTATTGCCATTTAGCTGACGTGCCAAAATGTCTCGTGCTATAGTAATATCTGTAGCAGTCCAAGGAATCAGTGCAAGCAGCTGGGAGAAGGGCAGGAAGAGGAGAGAGGGCGTAGGTGGATGTTGTGATTGTGTGTGTCCAAGTTAGCTGAAAGTGCAGGTGTCTGTGTTTATGGTGGGAGAAGCAGAGCGTCCATCTGACAGGGGTCTAGCACCAGGTCTGTTTCCTAAGGTGTCTCTGGCCATGGCCGGCGGGTTGGAACTAGATGATCTTTAAGGTCCCTTCCAACCCAAACCATTCTGTGATTCTATGATTCTAAGCTGCTATTCATTGGATTCCAAAACTCTGACTTCTTTTGGCACAAATCCGTGTTTCTCTTGCATAACCCCCAAAATGTGCAAGACTTCCTCCCAGGGGTTTTTCTGAGACTAGCTGAACTTACTCAGCAAAATTAAGAAAAGTCCATTAACAAGACTTTTAATGGGTGATAGGGCCCTTTAGCTTTTCAGATGTGAAGGCCAGTAGTTTCCCGATGAGTAAATAAACTTCAGGAAAAGACTCAGCGTTAGTAGGTGAAAGGACAAAGCAATGTAACTGTGTGATTTTCTTCGTTGTGTTTTAAGTCACGTATCCATGTAGGCATCTGCATGTTTGCGAATGCCTTATAATTCCATTCCATTAGCAGGACGTCTGCAATGCGTCTAGGTGCAAATGAAACCAAAATGTGCTGCAGAACTCTGAAGACAAATTACATGAGAACATTTCAGAGTTATAATATTTACACAATTCAGGATGCTTAAAAACACAGTGGTGTTGGCCTGTTTTGCTGCTGCTTCATGAAAAACATAGGCAAAATAACTCCCGCTAATGGTAGCTGACTAGAAATTAGATTGTTTAGTGTGGAGTGAATTTTAATCCAACTTCTAAAGATTTATTTGTTGAAACCACGTATTATTAACACATACATGCCAAACGTTCCAAAGATTTAATAATTAACAGTATTCTATTATTGCAGCACCAGTTATCCAAGCTCGTTAATACCTTTCATGTTGGGTTTCCATTTCGAATTGACTCTTTAGAAGTACATCTCTGCACAAAGTAATTAATTTCTTTTAGTGTACACTTTTCTTTCTACTAGGTAATTATTTGTGTAGGTTTCACCCCATATGAAAGCTGTACTATCTATATAATTCAGACTGATAACCTGCATGTAACAAAACTGATTGTAGTTTAATTACTGCTTACTTAAGCTTAATTTTTCAAGTATTCTGGTGATTAAGGATATATTTAATTCCAAAATTAATGGTCTTTTAAGTGCCACTGCTTAACATATGCCTTTGACTTTAGGGTATGTCCGTGTTGCAGTTCAGTTGCTGATTCCAGCAGAGTTGTTGTAACGCAGGTTCAAGCTGCCAAACACCTTCAGCTGTTCGAAGATGATGAGCACGCCTTGTTCCTTTCGGCCGTGCCTCCTGGTCATTGAGCTACTGGTTTTGAAGTAGCTGGGATATTTCTACAGGAGCCAGTCTTATTTCTGTATTATGAAATCCCTTTAGGAGTGCTCCCCTGAGGGAGCATTGGCTTCCTCTTTTTAGCGTTGGTCACAGGAGAAATTGTTTGCTTTACTGAGCTATTGTCTCCTCGGTGCATCTTAAGCAAGGGCATCCAGGAGTTTATCATGCCATTAGAGACAGCCTGCAAACAAAACAAGGCTTTTCACGTAATTAATAAGGCCTTCACCCTCCTCCTTACTTGAATAGAATTAGGATGTACACAGAAAAAGAGGATTAAATCCGATGTACATTTCTGTGGGTAGTGGTGAGCTTGTTTTTAGATTCTTGGGGAGCAGTCAGTAGGCTGAGAGGCTCTAAAATTGATGCTTTGAGTAATAGCCCCTCTAGTGCGTGAGAAGGTGGGATCTTTTTTCAGACAATTGTATTTCTTTTCTTTAAAGTTTTGATTTTTTCATCCTCATTTGGCTCTTTAGCAAGAAGAAAATCTGTTGATTTCAGGGTTGTTTTCTTGGTTTGTCTGTTCGGGGCAGGGGGAAGTATTTATCTATTTATTTATTTATTTTTTATTTTTCCCTAGGGTAGTTAATGATTCTCAGCCCAATTAGCAGTATTTTAAATTTATGTTATGTTTCTGAAGCATTGCAGTATTGGAACTTTACAGTATGCAAAACGCTACTGCTGGGTTGAGGCTGATGAGTGGCTTGTGTTTCCAGCTCCAAACCCTGCAAGCAAGGGATTTGGCACAGCACCGTGGC